CATACGTGCAACTTAAGTCCACGCCGTGGCCAGAAAAGTAGTCAGTGAGTACAAAGTAGGTTAGCTAGAGGGAGTGTAGGCAAGTAAATTATTTTTGTACTTGTTGGCCAAACACTTGTTTAATAAAAGATTTCTGATGGAGAATGAGACACTCTCCTGAAAATCCGATCTTATTTATTCGCGTCCGCAAATATACATTAACTTACATTGTTTTTAGTATAAACACGAATTTTGTACTCTCTGAAACTTAAAAAATCATCTAATCAAATAATCTCCAAAAGCTTGTCGGGCAACAAGTGAAAGAGTTCAAAACCCTGAGTACATATGACAATGTTGAAATATGCCCCCAGGCATGTAGTCCATTGGCTTAGTGGGTGGGTGAAACTCCCTATGAAAACGAAGGTCAGGGGATCGAACTTCACTCCTCCTAGAAGATTAGTCTCACACCTCTGGGTGTGAATCCCTTAGCCCGTTAAGCCCGTACCTGGGGGGAGGGGGGATTGGCACTTCGTGTGAAGTCTCGAAGTGAATGTGGTAATACTTCCTCTTGTTATAAAAAAAATTTGAAATCTATGATGATATCCGAAATAGGTGGGTTTTAGTTAAGTGCTAAATTAAACGAGTAGCATGTGAGTGTGCATTTTAGTCAAGTGCTAAATGAAATGAGTAGCATGTGAGTGTGACAACAAAATCAACTATTGGACCACGGGTAGGAGTCTCTTTTAGGGAACATGAAAATACATCCCAATAGAAAAATTTAACACGGATATACTACCTCCTATTTTTAATATATGCCGTTTTGAGAAGTTGTACATTAATTAAGAATATTTTTTTTTGTCAATAATAACCTTATTTAATGAAGATAGAGATGAATGTTTTGAGAAAAAGTGAAGAGTGAATATGAAAAGACGTAATGTATTTATTGGCTAAATGAGGGTAATAAGGGAAAAATATGTACAAAAGATCCAAAACGACATTTATTTGGCAAATAGTTGAAAAAACTAGAATGCCATTTAAAAAAAATAGGAGGGAGTATATATTAAATTATTAATTTGTTGAAAGGTAATAATTATTATTTTGGGTTAGCTAATTATTTGTTCAAAGAGGAAATCCATTGAAAGTGGTGAAAAATAGAAGGATTAATTAAGAGTTCATACTTAATTAGGGTAATTATTTAAACAGCCTTTTCTTTTTTAATGAAAGTGACTTAATTACGTTAATCACGGGGTAGTGTGGAACCAAAAATGCCTAAAAAGATGCCGAAAAGATTTCGTGTTTGCATGTGGTGGCTTATGACTTTATAAGCTATAAATCAAAATATATCCATCCATGTGTTATATTTTAGACAAAATTGCATATTAATATATTAACTTACATGTTTTTACAATTTAAGCACTATCTTTAAAATTCTACAAATTAATACATCACTTTTACCATTTTTTGCAAATCGATACATGAATAACGTTTCCGTTAACGAAGATCTGACATGACATTGACGTGGTTTAATGTCATGTCAAATTTTCGTGAGATTTTTATTAACGAAACCGTCATTCATGTATCAATTTATAAAAATGATAAAAGTGGCGTATCAATTTACGAAAATTCAAAGATGGTGATTAAATTGCAAAAAAAAAAAAAATATTAAAGGTGGTGTATTAATATAAAATTGGAGTTTTTTCAATACAATACCTGAAAGATATGTAAACTATCAATTTGAGGCCTGAAAGATTTTTTTTCTCAATTCGGGACCTGAATGTTATAAAACTATCAAATTATGTCATACAATTCGGGACCTGAATGTTATAAAACTATCAAATTAAGTCCTACCCGAATTGAGAAAAAAAAATCTTTCAGGCCCGAGTTGATAGTTTACCTATCTTTCAGGCCTTGTATTGAAGAAACCCCGATAAAATTTTATCTGTATTTTATTATGGACACGTAACTTTCAGGAGGGAAGCTTAATCAAACATTATCGGACATGACAAAGTTGTTCAAACGTAAATTAATTTAAACAATACGAAAAGATTTTTTCAGTTTGGACAAAATTGTAGTCTTTTTTTCGACACCAGCACACGTTGCTTGATTTTATTTCATATGTTTTTCTTTAGAAAAAAAATAACGATTCAGGAGAATTCGAGATACAAATTAATGTGAACCTTAATCTTATCTTAAATTTTCTTTAATTTTTTTATGTTTAATTTTTTCCCTTTACTAACTCATGTGTCGAGGTCGGTTAGAGATTGACGAAATTCTTCAAAATTATATACTACTTAATATTGAAATTGTGACAGGATTTTTTTTTTGTCTAAATTACTTGTTAGCATTTGTTTTTTACAAATATTATGGTGTATTTATTATGTTAGCCTTATGTTATCTTTCAATATGTCTAACTCTATATTTGTATATGTATATATATTGGGTTAATAGAGTTTTTGTATAATCTGATTGAGATGATGATCATATTCCCAATTCATCTCGTCTTTTCCGTATATAGAGTTTTTTTTTTTTTTTTTTTTTTTTNNTTGGGAATAGCAGCGAACAAACACAATTGGACACAAATTGAGATACACGTACTGAAAGATAATCTAATACTAATATAGTAAATACACAAATCATACACAATATAATAAAATAAATGTCGTTTACTTCCCTGGATGGGATTGGATAACTAAATTTGTCACACCATATCATCTGTTTTCTTTCTAGTTGGCACCCCTGTGGCATGCGGGCCCCACGGTGTATCCTTCATTCGTTGATAAAATAAATCCCGGGGGGAGGCCAAGTTTTTTTATCACGTTTTTTTACAATGCCCATTTTTATCATTTTTTTTATCCCGTAAAGTAAACGCGAACAATTTGCTGATGTGTAAAGTAGTTAGATTATTTTGTTTAATCCTATCAAGCAAATTAAATGAGACAAGGAATTAGTAGTTTATGATTTTGACAAATTATGATTTTGCGACTTATTA